CCAATAATCCTGGACCCTAGCCTAGGTTCTGGACCTACTCCTTCCCTAGGGTTCCATTGCCTCTATAGCCAATCCTGCTGAGATACACTATTCCCAGGCTAAGTCCACTCAAAGCCACACCCGTATCACATTCTACACAGGGATTTCCAGATCACCCACACTTGCTTTGAACATCCCAGTCCTAGTCTAGGTTTGTGGCCTACTTCTACCCTGGGATCATAGCACCCTGAGACCCCCAAAACCATGAGGCCCCACCTCCTGTGCCCCTGCAACCAATCCCTGGCTGACTGCTGGTCCCACCCCTGCTAAGGTGCGGCCTATCCAAGTCTCTAAACTGAATCCCAGGCTCCTCCTGTGCAAAGCACCACCCTGGCCCCACCCCTTTGCTGCTTTTCTGGTTGTTTCTTCCTGATGTGTGTGTGGGAGGGCAGGGGTGGCCTCTTCCTGCAGTGATATCCTCTCTGCTGCCTCCCCTCACCCCTGCACCAGGTGGCCCTGCTGCAACTGATGGGGACACAAGAGCTCACAGGGCAGGAAGACACCCTACAGTTGCACCAGCTGAAGATGAAGTGAGTGCCTCTTCCCAGTGGGCTGGCCATACTAGATTTGCACATGGTCCAGGTGCACACTCCCAGCCAAGTATGCCCTAGGGCTGGCACTGTCAGACCCTACGGGTGTGCACACTGGAGTTCACACCTGGTGGTTCCCAGACACACAGCACATTCCCCTAGTGCACACACCCCCCATTTCCATACCAGACTCACTATTCATTTCTGGGACAGCTGCACATCCCAGACACACCAATCCCACTCATGTGGCTGGACTTACAGCTTGGACACGGTCACCCAGACCCCACCAAGGACAAACCTGCACATTCCTGCCCTCACCTCCCAAACACACCCCGTCAACGTGTGCCACAGTCACATTGTACACCCTCCTGATGGCACCCACCCACCCAAGATGGCCTTTTCTCTCTGCCCACTGAGACCTACAGGCCCAGCCCTGCTCCCAGGCACCCAAATGGCCCTCCTGGCTCCTAAGGCCATCTAGAAGCTTGGTGGTGGGCAGGAGGGCCCAGGGCTTGCCACAGCCCCCTCAGAGCTGCACAGTGGAGGCTAACTTGCTCCATCTGGGTTTTATTTATAGTTCCCATCCACTTTTATAGGGTAATTAAAACCATGGAAGCCATCAGCGAGGTTCTCCAGGACCTCAGGTTTGATGCAGAATCTGCTGAGTGATGGTGACTCCCCAGGGACCCGCTGAGGGAGATGGGAAATGAGTCAGGCGGCACCCAGCTCTGACTGCTAGCTGGATAGGGTTGAACCTCACCGGGCTGTTGACCCTCCGTGAGGTCACCACACCTCCCACAATAAAGAAACCTTCATCTGCAACTGCTCTACTGTCTCTGCATCTTGGAGTGCTGGGGTGTGTACCTATTGAGGGGGCCCACAAGGGCAGGAAGGGAGGGTGGAAGACTCCCCCAAGACGGATGAAACTCTGGTGTTTTCAATCACATTCTCCAAGGAGTTTAGAACCAGATAGTTCCAATCCTGGGGAGAAAGAATCTGAAATTCTGGGAGAATTTCAATTGCAAAGGGTCATTAGAAGTCCTCATGCCTCCCCTACAGTCCCCACCCCAGGCCTCTGTAGCCCCAAACTCACCTTCACAATCAGGGAACCAAAATAGCTCGTTTATTTAAAAAGATTCTTTGGAAAGGTTCTGGCGAGGGAATTAATAACTCCTCTTTACCCTCAGCCCTGGTAGGGGTTCTGGGCAGCTTGGCCAACCTTCACACACACACACACCACTGGGTGCACCCAAGGGTGGCCTCACATGGAGGCCAGAGATGTGATCCTTGAAGCTCAGAGCGCCCACTCCAGCTCCTGCCAAGGGTGCCCGGGCACCGTGAGGTGAGGGTACAGAGGTGGCCCAGTCTGGTTGCAGTCCTGGGTCTCCACGAAGCAGGGAGGGCAGCCTCCAGCCCCTAGAGCTTATCTGGCAGGACCTGCAGGCAGAGGTGAAGCCAGACTAAGCAGAGAATCCTACCAGGTGTCAGCACCTCATAGCAATTTAGGAGCCCCCTTTTCCCCCCACCCCCAAACCCCTTCCCATTCAGGTCCTGGCCGGCCCTTCCACTTTCAGCTGGGTGACTTTGGGCAGGATACTGCCTCTCCCTGGGCCTTGGTTCCCCATCTAAAAAGTAAGAATATCTATCTATCTATCCCAGGGGGATGTTATGCAGATAAAGCCCTTGGCAAAGGCCCAGCATGCAGTAGGCGCTCAAACATGCTAACTTGGACCAGTATGTTCATTCATTCCTGAGGATGCCGCTCCACTTTGGACATTTCCAAGGAGTTGGGTGCTTACTAGATTAAAAACCACAGGGTCAGGCACATTTGAGGCTAAGTAAATGCTGATAAATAAAACAAGAATGAAAGTGGGGGTTCACAGCCTATTGGCCACCCGGAAGGCCCAAGTCTTCCTATAGCCCACCCACCGGGGCCCCCTTACCTCTCGCCGAGCTGCGTCTGCCCGAGGGCAGGATCCCCTCGTCCTGTGCTTGTAAGGAAGAAGGTGGTGTCGGGGGGGCTGCGCACCCACCGCCCCACCCCACCCCTCGTCCCTTGCCCACGGGTCCCTCCTTCCTACCTGGTTTCGGGTCTTGTGCGACTTCTGCATCCAGGCTCTCCACTGGTCGTAGAGGCGGAAACTGAGGTTCGAGCAGTACGCGTGCTTCTTGAGCCAGCCCAGGAACTGCTTGAGCTCGCGCCTCACGGGCCCCGAGCTCGGCTCTCCACCCCGCGGTTCGCAGG